CGTCTTCCCTGCGTCTCCCATCATTTTTCAATTGCCAGTCCACCACATTTTTTTGGCTTGTTTTGGCCAGCAGAGTGCAGCAGGAGGCCATGGAGGGTGAAAACAAGGCGGTGAGAGGGGTGCGCGCATCCCGTTTTAGCTGTCAGAGTCACTGCAGGCCGGTCCCTTGATATTTCCAGGCCGGCCCCACATCTTGGATTTAAGCATGCCATAGGCTGATCCGGCTTGTAGGCCTTGATATTGACACCCCTGCTCAGTTGATGCAATGAACGTGAGTTTGGATAAACTCCAGGAAACAGTACAAGAGGGGCCTGCTGTGCTATATAGTCCAGGGGTGTCCAACCTTGGCAACTTTAAGACTTGCGGACTTCAACTCCCAAAATTCCTCAGCCAGCAAAGCTGACTGAGGAATTCTGGGAGCTGAAGTCCACAAGTCTTAAAGTTGCCAAGATTGGAGACCCCTGCTATAGTCCATGCAGTCCATAAGAGTCGGACATGACTTAGCAACTGAACAGCAACCACATGATCCCTTGGGGCTTAGAAAACTGTTTGAAATCTGTTTCAGTTTTGACTTAGCAATAGTCACGTCCACAGTTAGCCAAAACAAGAGTTCATCATAATGGATGAACTTTGGGTTATATTTTTCAGCCTATGATCTCTAAGAAGATGAAAACCCCTTAGTTTGTTTGAGTATATGTCCATCTCTGATGCACGGTGAAGACGGAGCACTGACACAGTTTTAGGAGATAGATTTTAAAGAAAAAAAGTTTTAATCAATTTTAAAAAGAGATTGTGTATCATCAAGTCAGCATTGATTCTTAGTGAGGTGCATTTTTCAAGAGGCAACTGGACTTTCTGGTTTTTCTTTGAAGACCTTTCACTTCTCATCCAAGAAACTTCTTCAGTTCTGACTGGATGGTGGGGAATGGAAGGATTTACACTCCTTGCAGACAGCTGGTCATTTGCATCCTTTTAGTGAGTCGTTGAGGCCACCTGGAGGTTTATTTGTATCATCAGGGTCACCTGAACAAGCCTCTTTCAACAGTTTACAACACAATCCTTTCAGCTGTTTCAAGAAGGCTCCATACCCATTTTCATCACTCGGGTGACTGTAACTTTGTCACTTGTATCCTTATGATTTATATCAACTGTTTCCTAGTATGATTTGATTGCTTATTGTACCCTGTGACTATCATTAAGTGCTGTACCTTACAATTCTTGACTCTTGACAAATGTATCTTTTATGTATACTGAGAACATATGCACCAGGACAAATTCCTTTGTGTCCAATCACACTTGGCCAATAAAGATTATTGGCCAATAATTCATTCATTCAATCTAGAACTATGCTGCCCACGGCGTGACCTAAGCTTAGTACACAAAATTGTCTGCTACAACGTCCTACCCGTCAATGACTTCTTCAGCTTCAACAGCAATAACACATGGGCAAACAATAGATACAAACTCAAAGTAAAACTGCTCCAAACTCGATTGCAGAAAATACGACTTCAGCAAAAGAGTGGTCAACGCCTGGAACTCACTACCTGACTCTGTTGTTACATCCTCAAACTCAGAGGTGGTATTGAGCAGGTTCTGACCAGTTCTGGAGAACCGGTAGCAGAAATCTTGAGTAGTTCAGAGAACTGGCAAATACCATCTCTGACTGTCCCCGCCAACCCCATCTATTCTCTGCCTCCCGAGTCCCAGCTGATTGGCTGAGTCTTCTTTTGTTGCCCTGCACAGGAGAACAGAGCTGGAAAGCAGGTTAGTGGGGGTGGGGAGGGAATGGGGATTTTGCAGTAACCTTCACCCAGGAGTCGGAAATGAATGGAGATTTTGCAGTATCCTTCCCCTGCCACGCACACCAAGCCACCTTCATCAAGCCACACCACACCACGCCTACTAAGCCATGCCCACAGAACCCGTAGTAAGAAAAATTGAATCCCACCACTACTCAAAGGCCCAAAACTTTAACCTTAAAACTATCTACCATGGACTTCACTCCATTCCTAAGAGGTCTGTAAGGGAGCGTGCATAAGCACACCTGTATGCCTACCGGCCCTGTCCTATTGTTCCCATTTATTCGTACTCATTTGTTATGTATACACTTAAACCTGTTTTTAATATTTTTTTTTAAGTATTTATTTGATTTGTCAATCGCTTACAAGATACAGGTATAAGAATAAATACAGTTTTGAATACATGAGAGAGATAAGAAAAATAAAAAGAAACAATAGGACAGGGATGGTAGGCACGATTGGTGCGCTTATGCACACCCCCTACCGGCCTCTTAGGAAGCGGGTGAGGTCAACAAGTCTAAAGTTAAAGTTTTTTGGGTTTGGGGAAGAAACCACAGAGTCAGGTAGAGTATGCTTGAAGTCATATTTCCTGCAACCAAGTTTGGTGCGGTTAACCTTGAGTTTATATCTATTGCGTGCTCTGCTATTGTTATGACCGAAGCTGAAGTATTCATTTGCAGGTAGCACATTGCAACGTATGATTTTTATATACTATATTTAGGTCGGACTTCTATGTTCATACTCATACTTGTTTTCTCATACACGCTTGACAAGCAAGCAAGCAAGCAAGCAAACAAGCCAATCCACGTTCCAATCGCGTTCCAATTGCAGCCTCTTCTTCCTGGCCAGTCAGAGTCGGCTTGTCAAAAACCGGAGAGACGATCGCTGGGGGGTTTTTTTTGTTTGTTTGGGGTTTTTTTTGGGGGGGGGGGGGGAAGAAGGGGGGGCAGCCACGTGAAATTTCGGCCGACCTCCCTCCTGCTTTCAAGCTCGCTTTGCAACAGCCGACCAATCAGAGCGCGCCTTCGCCTCCTCAAAGTTCTTCCCCCCCCCCCGCCACTCCTCCCTCCTCTCGTCCTTTGCTGCCCCCTAGCGGAGCTTCGAGGGAAAAGGCGCCGCTTCCTACCAGTGATGCAATCCGAGCCCGGGTCGCTTGGCTCTCCGCTGCGAAGGGAAGCGGCTTCATTCGCGGCTGCAACGTGTCTTGATCAACGGCTGCCCGCCTTTCGCTCCGGTTCCTCCCCCCCACCCCCCCATCTCCCTCCACTCACCCATCAAGGCTGCTGAGGAACCCGGGAAGGGGAGTGGGGGAGAGAAGGAGGAAGACTTGCCTCCTCCTGTCAGCTGCAACCGTGCAGAGATCCGTCAAGAAGAAGAAGAAGAAGAACTAGAACAAGAAGAAAAAAAGAGATCTCCCCAAATCTCTTTTTTTTTTCGCCTGCTTGGAGAAATTGGAGTGGATTTTGCTGTCAAGATGAAGGTACTGTAAGAATTGCGAAGGGGTGAGATGGTGAGAGATGCTGACTTGCTGGAGGGGTGCAAGCGATCTGGTCCCCGTTTCCCCCATTCATAAAAAACAACCTCCCCTCGCCAATAATAACAATTTTGTTTGTTTGTTTGTTTTAAAAAAAGAAAGAATCGAGCGTTAGTTTGGGTGCATCTTTGATAAACGCATCCTTGCTACGTCTTGCACGCTCCGATAGCATCCACAGGGACCAGGGTTGACAAGGCAGGAATAAAAATAGAAAAGAAACGATTGCTGTCGATCATTGGATTCCTTCCTCTCTCCCCCCCTTCCCCCCCCCCGCCTTCCTATACTGGGATCATTCTCCTTTCCTAAAAACGAAGCGAAATGCGGGTTTCGGGGTGGATGAAGTGGAATTTTTGCTCCATATGTTGGACAAGAAGCACCAATATTTTGTGTGTTTGCACAGGCACAGGTTTAGGGCTGTTCATCCCCCCCCCCTTTTTCCCCCTCTCTAATTTAGCCAGCAAAAACGCTACAGGGTTTTTTTAAAAAAAAAAAAAAGCATCAAGGAGAGGAATTTGGTGTGTGTGTGAAAGGGTCTTCATTCTTTTGCAAGTATGAACACGGATTTCTGGGTTTTGCAGTTGCTGTTGCTGGTGGGTTTTTGGTTTTTTTTTGCTTGGTTTTGGAGAAGCCACATTTTAAGGGCTCGGGCGGTTTATTTATAGCATTTCACTTTGCAATCCATTTCCAGTTCCAAATCAGGTCAACCAACGGACAGCAAACCTAGCCGCTGACAATGGGGGAAAAAAAATCCGGAGGGAATGGAAGATGGGGGTGGAATTCAGTTCCTCTCTCTCTCTCTCTTTCCTGTCAGGAGATCTTAGAAGTATATTTTTTTTCCCGCCTTCCTTTTCTCTGAAAATGGAGGGGTTTTGTGTTTTTTTTTTGAGTTAGAAAAAGAATGGTTCCAGCTGTTTATGTGAGTTTTTCCTCCCCTTGCTTATTCCCTCCATCGACTCAGATGAACGCCTCCCCCAAAAAACCCTTCTTCGGATTATTGGGTAACCTCTTGGAGATGTTTACAGGGAAACTCCACCCTGGTCGTCCATTCTCTATACCCTCAAAAAGTTTGTGAGGAATTGCTAGGGAGGTCTCAGCAACAGAGGAGGGGGAGGCAAAACCTCCACAGACTTCCCGAGTTGTTGTAGAATAGATTGCAAACGAAAAGGTAGCTAGAGTTGTTTCGCTTGTTGAAACCTCTGGCCAGACGGAATTCACCGTTATTTTTATTTTTTTTTAAGTCTTTGGCTCATGTTACTGCAGTTGTTCACTTTGCCAGTGAACAAACCTATTATATCCCAGGCTGCCCACAGCTGTTTGACATTGATGAAGAGCCTAACCTCCCCGATCCTGATTTATACATGATCCAGGAATGTAAAAACGGCTAAATTCTTCAGAGGCTACTCAAGATGGTAGCGGGACAGCTGCTAACCAGAGTTTGATCCACACAGAAATGAAGAAAAGAGACTAATAGGACAAAAAATAGCCTGGTCCCTGCTTGGGATTGTGTTCCAGCTGTGCTGATACAGATAGAGTTGGAAGGGACCTTGTAGGTCATCTAGTCCGACCCCCTGCCCAAGTAGGAGAACCTACACCATTTCTGACAAATGGCAGTCCAGTCTCTTCTTGAAAGCCTCAAGTGATGATGCTCCCACAACTTCCGAAGGCAAAGCTGTCCCACTGGTTCCTTTTTCTCACTGTCACAAAATTTCTCCTTATTTCCAGGTTAAATCTCTCCTTGTTCAGTTTCCATCCAGTATTCCTTTGGGTGCTTTAGAAAATAGCTTGACCCCTTCCTCCTCTCTGTGGCAGCCCATCAAATCTTGGAAGACTGCTATCCTGTCTCCCCTGGTCCTTCTCTTTACTAGACTAGCCAAACCCAGTTCCTGTAACCGTTCTTCATATGTTTTAGCCTCCAGTCCCCTAATCATCCTGGTTGCTCTTCTCTGTACATTTTCTAGAGTCTCAACATCTTTTTTATACTGTGGTGACCAAAACTGGATGCAGTACTCTAGGTGTGGTCTTACTAAGGCTTTATAGAGTGGTATTAGTATCTCACTTGATCTCGATTGTATCCCTCTGTTAATGCAACTTCCAAGATTTATTTATCGGTAATTCTCAACTTACGACCACTCATTTAGTGACTGTTCGAAATTATGACAGCATTGAAAAAGGTGGCTTATGACCGTTGCATCATCTCCATAGTCACATGAATCAAAATTGACATCGGGCCTGAATTTATAACGGTTGCAGTATCCCGGGATCATGCAAACCCCTTTTGTGTCCTACTGACGAGCAAAGTCAACGGAGAAGCCAGGTTGTCTTAACAACCGTGTTTACTAACTGAAGAGTTGCAGGGATCGCTTTAACAATGGGGACAAGAAAGGTCGTAAAATGGGGTCAGAGCTCACTTTACAACAAATGTTTTTGCTTAGCTCAGTGTGGACCTTAAGTAGAGGACTGCCTGTACAGATTAAATGTGGAGACTGCCCACCTCACCCGAAGAGCAGTTCTTGGGTGGCACGCGATTCAAACGTAAAAGATGAGTGCATAATACATTTTTATAAATAAAACTAGCAGGGTACCTGTGCTTCACTATGAAACTATGTGATCAGGCAAGTTTTGGGGGAGGAAAATAAGGGGGAAAAAATTCTGCCTCTGCCTACCAGCATCCATCGGTATTCATCTGGCTGGCGTCCTGTCAGTGTGTGAGAGAGTTGAGGATGATTTGGAATCTGAAAGAGTATTTGCTATGTGAGCGAGAAGGAGACAGCAAGGAGCCTGGGCATGGCTTAGCTCAACTGTTCTGTACTAAAGCTGGTTGCTGCTGTGAAACTAAAACTCCTCTCCTCTGCTTGTGTTTTGCATTTGGAACAGTTTTCTTTTCAGGCGGGGAAGGGGAGTAGAACTCCTTAGCATCAGAGCGTGTTAATAATAACATAGGAAATACTAATGCTCTGATGGTTATTTCAAAAAAATCCTTTCTTAGTGAGCACCTCGAAGCCAAGAGGAACATACAGGCCAAATTTCAAGTTTGTAGGCTTTACGGTTCTGGAGATTTTGTGACGATGGGTGAGTGGTATTTCGCTTTTATGTATATAGATAGATGAATACAAACCCTGTCAATATTGTATTCCACTTGGAGGCCGTTAAAAGAAGCATGAAATCATTGCAGTTGAAAAAAAGGGGGGAAGGTCTTCAAGGGGTTAAACAGCCCCCAGGGGCTGCGTGCTCCTCTGTGCGGCCCAAGCAAATGAACTGAGCCAGGGTCTTCTTACTTATTTATGTAGCCAGCGTCTTCTTACTCATTCTATATGCTTTTCCCTTTTTTTCCCCAATATCTCAGCCAGTTGACATTCTGTGACTGCAGCGTGCTTATATATTATTGGGTCATTTGGGGTCATTTTTCTTGATTTAAGGTGCTGTCCTCCCCACCACCTCTCTCTGTTTCTGAAATTTCCCCCACGCCTGCTACTTTCTGGTTCGTGCTTTAGGGACTTACCCCAAACTTCCTATCTCACATCACTAAACCGCGGGTGCCAGCTGAGCCACGTATGCACTTCATGAATCAGCTCAGTGTTAGTTTTAGACGTTGGGGCTAAGGCGGCATTTGTGGAAATGTTGCTTGTGGAACAACCACTCTGGGCTGGGTTTGGTCACAGTTTCCCTATGTTGAAAGTTAAAACCCACCCCGCTCCTAGGAAAATGAAATATTTTAGGATATACTAAAAAGGTAGAATATTTCCCTAAAAGAAAAGTAGAAACTCAGAGAGGCAGAAACTCAGCCCCTCCCCACTTTTGTTAATGGACCATTAAGGCAGTCTATTCTACATAACAAAGATCTACCTCCTTCAGGCAGAGCCATTTAATTGCCCTTCATTGCATCACCCAGCAAGTTTCAACCAAACTTAGCACACAGACCACCTACAAAGCTAGCTATGACCTCTGACAGCAACCAATCAGGATATTCTTCCTGTGCCCCGGGAAGTTCAAAGCCCAAAGAGGGTATAAAACCCAGGGCATCTCAGCATCGCCTTCTTTTTCTTCACCCAAGAGCTCCAAGGCATGTGGTCCTGTCCACCATTAAACCATCTTTCCAAACAGCCTCCTCCATGTTTCCAATTTCTTTTTTCCCCACTTGGAACTGAACCCAGAAGGATATTTTCTTCCAACACCTGATTAGATTGTACAAGATATATTGGGGAGGTGACAGCATTGACTGGACCATTTATGACTCCGTGTTGCCGTAAACAGTCAATCAAAGGTGATTGATGATAATGATGTTGATGTCAGGTGCATGAAGTAAAACAGCAAGGACAACACAGTAATTATGCGCATGGGAAACCATAAGTAGCAGTGGCAAGAATGAGGTCAAAAGGAAGGTTACAATTATGGATAACCATGGCTGCGTTGTGCATTTCTGGTAAGAGTTCACTCGTGTCCCATTCAGCATTACTTCATTCCATTTCTCTCCAAACTGGTTTCTATTTTCGTACTACATATATAGCTCGTCTTCAACTTTTGATCATAATGGAGCCCAACATTTCTGTTGCTAAGCAAAACATTTTTTCAGTGAGTTTTGCCCCAGTTTAGGATCTTTCTTGCCACAGTTGTTAAGTGAATCACTTCAGTTGATAAGTGAGTGACCCGGTTGTTAAGTGAATCTGGCTCCTCCGCCCCCCCCCCCCATTGACTTTGCTTATTCTGGACTGCACAGAGATGGACAGGCTGACCATAGAGTTAAAAGATAGAAATGAAATGGAGTATTATTTAGTCTGGGATGCCTGCTAGATCTGGTTAGACAATAGACATAAAAATAACATAGTAATTGATATATGAATTTGAATGTTGACGATGCTGTAATGTTGTTGGGAATGTAAATATGTTTTTAAATTGTTGGAAAATGCTTAAAAATTTTTATGAAAAAAAGAAAGAGAAGGAAGGAAGGA